GTAGCAGATTTAGAATTTCAGTGTTCAGTCGATGAACAAAAAGTTACAGAGTTCATGAGCATTCTGATAACTAACGAGATTAAGGAAAGAGGTTCAAAAATGAATTGTAATGAAGTCCTAAGCTACCTCAGAAGGGTTAAAAAGACCACAAGCTTGATCTGTAACGTCCAACAAGGAAGCTTCCTGGAAAATCGTGAACCCAATGCCACAAGCGGGAAAACATATTAGTGATAAAGCAGAACCAAACCAATGGCACTTATCAGAAAGGAACTTAGTTGGACCAGAAAGCTTGCATCATAATACCAAAAAATTCACCTGTTTACAAAGAAACCAGAGAGAAGAAGCATCCTGTCGAGTGAATTCTAAACCGTAACGGCTTACTAAGGCAGCAGTAATTTTATCCAAGACAGGTTCCTTCAGCTCGCCAACAGCGGGTTCCTTGTTTTTCCTATAGACCTACATTCAGAAATCAACAAATCAATTGGATCGCATATGCCCCTCTGAAGAACCCTTCCATAACTTATATTCAATTACTCACCACCCTAACTGCTCGAAATGAAATTAAGTTTTTGCTTAGTCAGCCAAGCAATAAATGACCAAAGATGAGTTTACTGTAAAATGTAAAAAAATGAAAGAAGTTCTATGCACCTTGTAGCTTTGACAACTATCAAAAAACCTAAGCATCAAATCACTTGCACGACTTTCACTGGTAACCGCAAAGGCTTTTTGTTTTGCTGGTCCAAGTTTCCCTTTCCCGGTCAATAGCCCCATACCAAATGCCACAGCACTAGCTGATGCCCGAGGAACCTATAACGTCAAAACGGCAAGAAAGAAGTCAGCAAAATGGGATTGATTTCCATATCATCAACTTCAAATTTGATCATAACATTTAGTAGTTCAGCAAAGTCTAAAAAATGGCAGCAATCTTGTTGTATTGGACTAGACAAATAACTCACTTGTGTAGCCTTGATAACATAAACATCCGGATGGTATGGCTCCTCGAACAACTGTGGGAACCTTTCTCTAGTCCTCATTCCAAGATCATACAATTCCTCTTCTCCTTGACTAATCAACTCTCCACCTTTCAGTTTACCTTTCCATGGCGACTCCCAACTCCGCAGCCAGGCAGGAAGCTTTTCCAAAGACAACTTCTTATGTTCAGCATGACTTATAAGCTCTTTTAGATGAGAAGCCAACCTGTCTAACTCTCTCATTCGCTTCTTGGTTGGCGAACGAGTCCCGTGTCTTGCCTAGTATATCCATAAGCCAGGACACATCATCAAACCATCTCAATAGAACGGAATCAAACAACAACTCAGAGATTCGACATTTCATTGTGCTATTTGGAACGCCAATATAGTGCTGATCAGTATGCAATTGAAGTCCAAAAGAGGATCCAGAAGCTCAACCATCGGAAATGTGAATAGTAATAAGGCAAAATATGCACCGTTCTCTAAGCAAACACAACAATCGTGAATCCAGTGAAATTCCAGTGAGTTAGAATAATAATTACCACTAGGTTCAAGTGAATTGCAGTGCAGCCATCAACCGCATTGGACGGAACAAAGGTATTGTTGACGATGACATCTTTGACAGCACCGTATCTGCACGAAGAGGAATTACAAATTTAAAAATTCTACACCAACGACTACGAACACTTCTGAGTTCTGATCCCCTATTTGATTCTCCAATACGAACAATCACTGACGTGAAACTATCCAAACAAGTTCAATCCCCTCAAAGCTATCCAGAGACGGAAGAATTTCCCCCCGGTTTACCTGGATACGGTGGAGAGATGCTGGCGAACGTCGAAACCTTCTTGAGCAGCTTCAGTGAACTGCGCTAGCACCAGTAGCAATGGGAGCATCCAAACAGCGGCGGCCATGGCGGTCTTCTCCATTCATGCGCAGGCGCCGGAGTAGTTTTCTTTTCTGCTTTACTCTTTCTGTTTGTGTGTGCAGAAACGTCGAATGGAAAAGTGATCTCAACACTTCGGCCAGGCTAGAGGCTTGAATATGAAGGAAGAAGAAAGAACAAAGACGCGGAGGAGCAACTGTGTCGAAGTCGACTGAGTTCGTTTCCGCTTGGTCGGGAGGCGGTGCTCTGCTCGGCGCTCGCTATTATACGTTTGTGCTTTTTAATTTTCTTTTTTCCGCGGCCGCGTCGCGGTGGTGGAGATATTTCGTCGTGATGTGAGCGACCCAATGTTATGACTCCACGTAGGATTACTGCTGTTGAGAGAAAGCAGGTTCGGGCTGACTGTCGAGATAATGGAAAGGTCTTGTCGGTAGATATATTGGATTAACAACTCCAGAAGAACCCAATGGGCTTTCCCCTAGCCCATGAATGAGCCTCTCAACTCTCAAGCAATAATTCATGATTTTTTTTAACTAACTATACAAGTTACAAAATGTAAATACTAAATTGTAATCGTGTAAAGTGTAAACGGAATACGAGAATAAAAAATAAATGCATCTCAAGAGTGGTCGTTATTACAAAAAAGAGTGGTCGTTATGATATAGATATAAGATTAGTAGTTATGATATAGAGTGATAGACAGTAGAACACTGAGTCACATTGATGCAAAGTATACATAGCTGACGTGGAATGTATAGCTGGCTTACAAGTTTGTTCATCACATCAACTATAGGCAGGGCAAGTTCACCTGTATGCCACCCTCCTCATTAGTATCTCGAAAAGGTTGAATCGACATCGGGTTACTAGTTGTTACCCATACATTCCGTCAATGCAATAAAAAACGACACTTTATGTAAAATCGCGACCAAATGTAAAATTGAAATAATAAATTAAAACTGTAATAGATCTTAAGATCATATAGAAATTGACACTACATATTATCAATAATGCAACGACTGAGAGAGTAAAGGGAGACAGACACGATTAGATAAGAAAGGTCGGTGATGAGAACGGGAGAGAGATTCCCGGTGGTTGTCGAAAGATAGAGAGAGTGGCGGTCAAAATGGAGAAGAGAATCCACTGAGAAGGAGAAGAAGATGAAAAGGGAGGGAGAGAGAGAGAGTTAAGCCCTTTTTTACAAAACATAATCATACATATTGATTCGAACAATATATAATTACATTCTGCAATTTAACCAGACTAGAAAATCAAAGAAATAACACATAGTTAGGTACAATGAAAAGACATTTACAGTCACCAAATGAGCTACCATATTACTAATCCGGCCTACAAATAACACATAAAGCCCAGTGTGAACATCGAAATAGTGCACAACCTCCTCGAGGATGATCCATATCCGATTATCTCGGGCATCTGACTGATTTATTTTATAAATGATCGATTTGACATATCCTTTAAACCTCGCCTCCGTAAACCCGTTTGCCAGACACCAAAGAATAGTCTCCCGAAAAACAAGTATCTCGACAACCATAAGATCATCAATATTAGGAAACTGCACCCCTTTAGCCAAGATGACCCTCCCTCCTTGGTTCATGATGATCAGTCCTCATATCGAGTCAGACTCACTTTTAGTTGCCCCATCCCACATATAGATAACTGAATTAGGGTGCCCACCACCTAAGGACCTTGCTTGTGGGATGGATGATCGCAGATCACGGTCTACTGGCAAACTAATCCACTCCTTGTATTGTTGGTGAAATTGTCGCATTAAAATTTGGATCCCAAATTGTTTGCCCCTCAAAGACAACCTAATTTCGTGACCGCCATATCCTCTATAGGTACACAACAACCACCATAAACAACTGAGTTTGATGTATCAATAACATCAACTTTCTAAGGAAGAACGAACAAGTTTGACGAGGCAAACGTTGGCCAAGATATTCGAGTCTCGGATGATCCCACAAAGCCCTTGCCACTAGGCAATCAAGAAACAAATGTTCCTTTTGTTTCCAATTCAACCCAACAAACCGGGCACCTAGAGGCACTTGAACTTCCTTCTCAACTAGGGCTTTCGTCGTTGGAAGGATCCAGCGGAATATTTGCCAGAAAAACACTTTTAATTTGGCTGGAATATGCGCATCCCACAAGGAGATCCAACTCGACTTATCCATCCAACTAGCCGTGGATTGCCACCGACTATCGTGTTTATCAAACAAGACTGCAAAATGATAGGTCCATTTGACAGTGAAATCCCGTCACTCGTGTCTTGCCAGATCAACCTATCCTCCACATCGTGACGAGGAAGAAGAATTGCTTTGATGGCACGACAAGTTGTCGGCAGCGGCGGATCCAGGGGGCCGCCCCCGGGCCACGACCCAGCCCTCCTATGGATCCATAGCTAGTATAGTACGTGTAAATTTTGTTTTTACATATTTTTTCGGTGTGTTTTTGGGATTTGCCGGGTTACGGCCCAGCCCTCTCCGCCTCTTTTGAGTCTTTTTAAATACGGCCCAGTGCTCTAACCTGTCCTGGATCCACCGCTGTCGGGTCAAACCACTGGCTAAGTTTTAGATCACACCACCAACCCTCTCCTTGGCAAATCACCTTCGCCACCTTCAAGTCTCCACCCTCTAATAGCACTTGAGGATTAATTCATAGATCGGCATACAATGATGTAATCGAGGAATCCATTTTGTGTAAAGCAGTGAAATTGTCTGGCCATTACTAATTTGCATTATCAAAGATATGATTGTGTTGTGTGTGCCATTTCTAAAATTACTCTAATTAAATCTGGATCAAAGATCACAGAATATTTGAATGATAATTGAGAGGCGGATGGAGAGGTAGTCACCGTGATCACTCCTCTAAAGACTGACATGGTAGTGCATTCGGATGAAAAATTATCTCAACTACCGTGTAAGAATCCACGTAAACTCATTCCCAACTAAAAAAAAAAGTAGAGGGACTTAAATAGCCAATAAATGTAAGTTGAGTGACCCATTATACGCCACGATCGCACGATTTTCCTCCCGCTCGGCCATACCCAAAGAAATGTAAAGGAAATTAAAAAATATTTTTATTAAATTTAAAGAAAGAACAGACAAACAGAGCTTTGAATTTTTGTTCAGAAGGCGGGCACTGCAGTCTGCAGGGATTGGAAGGGGAAAGAGCGCGGTGGTGGAGAATGGGAAAGTGAGAAGCTGTCTCGAAATTCGAGATCTCCCTCCTTCTCTCTCTATTTACTCCATTTCAGATGCCCCGTACTATTTCCAGCTGCCGGAAACCCTAATTGCAAACAAACCACCGATTGCTTCCGCATGGCGATGGGGTCGGTAGCTACCGTCGGCAACACTTACGAGGAGGCTAGAAAGCAACGCGTCGAGGAGAACAGAAAGCGGTTTAAGGTGCATTCGCCCCCTCCTGCTTCTTCCACCCATTTATAGTTTTACCACCGCTCTCACATGGGTTCTCTGTTTCTCATTTCGTAGGATTTGGGAATTTCCGATCTCTCCAAATCGCTCTCTAAAACCTCCAATTCTCCCAATCCAAAGGTATCTTTTTTTTTTGTGTGTGTGTGTGTGTGTGTGTGGGAGGGGTAGGTAATAGCATTTTGGTCCTGCTTTCAGAGCTTCAATCTGCTTTGCTTTTCATCGACGACATGGTTAAGTTTTGTTTTCGATGGTTTGATTTGTGTGCAAATGTGGGGGGTTTCGCAACAGCGTCATCCAAAACCGAGGTCGAAGTCCGACAATGTCTCAGAGGGGATTCAACCAAGGCGTTCTTCTCGTTCTCGAACTCAAGTCACGTCCTATGTCGATGATGTATGTATCATTCACTGATTCACAATTCATCCCTCTTCCCCCGCTCACTTACTTATCATTGAAATTGGCGATTCATACTCAAAAGGAGATTGAAATGTGGTTCTGGTTTGATTTCTTTGTTTATAGTTCCAGGCGGATTTGGATCTTTACCCTAAGCGCCGTCGCGGCGGACGCGGCTCTCGGTTAAACCCATCTTGGACAGAGTTCGTATTCGTTTCTGTCAAATTTTTTTTCTCTCCCAAGAAACCCAATGTGTAACATTTCTGTTGGTTCTTTGATAATTAGTTTCCCATAATGTGCATGTTTCAGCTATTTGGCAAGACCTCTTGAAGAAGTCGTAATTGCTTCCTATGAAGAGCGCGAGCGTGCTCGTAAGGCTGCTGAACAGTTTGAGAAAACTCTGCCCTCTTGCCATCCCACGTTTGTCAAATCCATGGTTCGCTCTCATGTTTATAGCTGCTTTTGGCTGGTGAGTTGCTTCTCTGTCCATTATGTGCTTATTGCTTCTGGTTATTTTGTAGTCAGTGTGATGAAATCAGGTTCGGTTGATATGCAATTTTCTTTGTGCAGGGTCTCCCTTCTCGGTTTTGCAAAAAAATCCTGCCTAAATGGGACTCAACCCTGATACTGGAGCACGAGAGTGGTTCAACACAAGAGACCACGTACCTAGCTAAAAGGACTGGTCTTAGCGGTGGCTGGAGGGCATTTGCAATAGAATATAAGCTAAATGATGGTGATGCTCTAGTTTTTCAATTGGTTGAGCCAGAAAGGTTTAAGGTGTGTATCGCCTTTTCCTTTCAGTTTGTCGCTCGAATTTCTAGGATAGGTAACATTTTGATTTGAGCCACCACTCTTTCCAAAGTCCAAGATCAGTATTTGCATAATCTTTTGAATGAAGAATTTTGTTGTGGTTCATCTATCCGTTGTGAATCCTTATTTGGTTAGGCAGCTATGCTTGATAATTGGTATCCACTCAGTTTGTTCTGCCCTGTATGCCTGTATCTATTGGTTGGCTCCTATGTGTCTAGGGCTGCCAACTTTAGTGGATTCATTCCTGTAGTGCAGATGTTATTTACTTCCAAATCTCGAACTTGATTTCCTCCCTATTATGGATACCCCGTTCCTACAAATGGAAGCAAAATCCATATGCTTCTTTCATTAACTGAGGTTTTGTCCATTTCCCGTGTATTGGGAAGGTAGATCACTTAAAAACATGGTTACTCTCTAGCAAATTGGCAAATTGGCTTGTGTGTGCTCATCATTTGCTAGCAAACCTTAAAATCTTCACAGTAAAGTCCCTCTTTTTTTGTTGTTGCAGTAGATGCCTACTCTTTCTCACTACTTGTATCATATTATTTTATAACAGCTGCAAATTTTCTTTTAGTGTATTGTGTGCTAAAGGTTTTGATGAACTTCTAACCTGGTTGCAGGTTTACATTTTCAGAACATCATCAGTTTCCGCTGGTGAAAACCCCAATGCAGATGCTAAGAAAAATACAAGAGCAACTGAAACGGAGGTCGTTCCACCCTCACAGAAGAGACAGAAGGTCAAGGAAGACAAGAAGAATGAGGAGAATGATGATCCAGCTGATGGGGAAGAAAGCCAACCAAAAGCTAGAAGAGGCACCGGTAGAAGAACAGTGGTGAAGAATCAAATGAAAGCGAATGGCTTCGCTGTTAAACCACACAACGATCAACAAGATGCTCAAGAACACGTAAAGAAGAACGACGAGAAAGAGAAGGGAGCAGATGGTGAAGAACACCAAACAGAAGCCAGAGGAAGAAACAGTGGAAGACGTTCCAAGTTGGCTGATGAATCGAAAGAGATGGTTTTGGCTATATTGGCACCAATTGAGAAACAAGGTTTGGCAGGCAAGGATGAGAAGGAGACCTTGGAGGCAGCAGTTGGTGACAAGCCCGGGAAACGGGTTATCAAGCCAAGGAAAAAACCAGCTCCCAGGTTGTTTCGAAGGAAAGTATTTAGGGATTAGGGAAAAGCCAGTTTCCAGTTTCTGCATTTGACTTTTAGTGTGAGCGATTAAGAAAATCGTTCGTTTTGGGGTGATGTAAATGGTACTGTCTTAACTTGATCCCTTGACAGGCCCTTATTGTATGGATCTAGATTAACGTTATGATTTTGGTCAACTTGGATAGGTTATTGTGAGCATTTCGTGATGTTTGAATCTTTTCTCATACAAGAGAGAACCGTTATTCTCATAGGCACATTATTTGGATAAATGCAATGACTTGTCACTGCGATTACTAAAAAATGTTACAGTTTGATCACTAACAATATTTTATTTCATTTGTGATCACTGAAATTGTTAAAAATGTCAAGTTTGGTCACTCTCCGTTCAACTCCGTTAACTTTTATTTATATGACAGTCAGCTTATCAAGTTTACTGTTAAATATATGACGTGGCAATTAAAAAAAAATAAAATAAAATATCTCAAAATTTTCACCTCATTATTTTCATCATTAAAAAAAAATTCATTTATTGCTCAAATACCTGATGATTTTCCCCACTCCGATCGTCCTCTCCACTATCTAGTGGTAAACAACCACTTTCTAGTTTCTACGAGTAGAAAGGAACCATGTCGTACCTAAAGGAGCAATCAGTGTCGTTGATCTGATCGCCGACCGCATCATAAGTACACGAATCAAAGAGCTCCTTAGAGCATCTCCATCAATGTAATTGCAAATGATGTTTTTATGATTTTTTTTTAAAAATTTTATGCAATCCAACTCATCTTTATTTCATTCCACCTATATCAATGCAATTCACTTGCAATTGCATATATGATGGTTTATAATAAATAAATAAAATATCAAGAGAGAAAAATAAAATTTTATTTTTTATATTTTTTTATGTGGCTTGCATCTTCAATTTCATTTAATGCAAGTTTGCATCTTTACAAGTGGCCACTACATTAAGTGCAATCCCTTTTACAATTGCATATTCAGTGTCACATAGGATTTGCAATTGATCAAATATGGAGAACCAGCAAGCAATCCTCGCACTGATGCTTTACGTGTTTTATGCACGTGGAAAATAGGTTTCAATATAGCATTAGATTAATTTGATCATATCCGATCGAGGACAAAAGTACGACGTTACCGTTGGAGATTGCGTGCGGTTAGTGTTAGTAGGTAGCTAGCTACAATTGTTCTCCATTGGCCGGCCGCCCGCGTATTTATATAATCTTCGTTACAAAATATGTGATCTTAATTAGTTGCTTTCTTTAGGGTTGAGGGATATTGGATGAAGTGAAGTCTCCTGGTTGTTTGATCGACGTGAAAATTAATACGACGACTCTTACATTTTTATAGTATGGATGAAAACTAGCTAGTTGGAAAAAGGGTGGTCCATTTTTGATCGGTTCATCAGAAAATATGTATAGAATGACGATGATTTGTTGACGTTTAGGAGGCCCGCCACTAAATGTTGGATCGGGATTGTGATTGACCCTCAGGACATGAAATATGTTAAAATGCAATCCGCAGTGATAAATGCTTAGGGAATTAGTACTTTAACATAATGCAGCCTAAAGTTGTATATACCAATTGGACACTGCAATTAGCACGGGATTGTTGTCGCTATAAATGTGGCGGTAAAGTTACATTACCGGATACCACTAATTGGCAACTAGTCACGGGAGTCATTTTTCGGGTTAATTGCACAGGGTGCCACTTAAGTTCACCATTTGTTGCACGATAACCACTTAAGTATGTTTTGTTGCAACTAAACCACTTATATCCAATTCCGGTAGCACTGTTACCATTTCCGTCTCCATGACTAACGGCGGGTGTTAAAACGTAAATTACCACGCCAACTCAGCCGCCATGTCAGCTGCAGACTCACCTGTGGGCCACCAAAATTCGATGGGCCCACTAAATCGAAAGTTTTCTTTTACGCGGGACACTTCTCCTTGCCTTGGCAAAACCATTCTCCGCCGGCAGCCGAACCGTCAACTCCTTCCCTGCAGAAAACAAAAACTTTAGTCAAGGAGCTTATACTAGCGATCGTCGCGAAGAAGGAAGGAAAGCTTGCTGCAATTTCATTCCCCCAAACAACCGGTGGGTGGATGGGATGATTTCAGCTAGATTGCTTCAGTTGTCGCCTTGATGATTTCAGCTCATGAGCCAATATCTCGCTGAGTTGCCTTGCTGTCTCCATGATCTTCTTCACAAATGACTCTGCAGCTGCAGGGTGCTCACCCATGAGTTCGTCTTTCAGACCACAGGAATCTATCTGTGTCCTGCACAAGCCCTTCGGCACTTGACTATTGTCTTCAACACCAGCAATCTCTTGGTATGTGCTGGTTTTGATGAAATTAGCATGCTTCATAATCATACCTATATCTATCCCCAATAATGCTACATGATAAGCTACGATAAGCTAAGATAACAAGCGCCAACTTCATCATTCAAATTGTCATGGCAACATGATAAGCTACGATAACAAGCAAAATAAAACAAGCATCTAAAACAAGCTATCTGCACTTTGAGACGCAAAGAGAGAAAGGAAATCCAACAATTCTCAAACATTAGCTCTTTAATCATACTCAATGAATCTCATTGATCAGTTACAACATAAGCTACAATAACAACAACTGTTAAGAAAGGCAGCAACAACATAACCCATTCCTGCAGTTTCTGCAATAAATAACAGAGGAAGCTCCTATTACAGGTTCCCAAACATGTAAGTCACCAGTCTCTTTGCCAAAGCAGCACCAACAATGTTTGAGTACAAGCTTCATCTTCACTATGGCGTCCCATCCCCACCCCTGGACCAATGAAACCAGAGATCCTCAAACATTCTAATATACCACAGAGCACGCTAACCAATAAACCAATCTGGTCGCCCTTGGAAGAGAGCCCATGCTCCATCCCTGCCAAAAGAGATGTAATTATTCTGGGCAACAACTCTCTGGCATTCTCGAGTACCTGAAGGAAAATAACGAGAAAATTACAAACACAGATTGGTAGAGCAGAATATACATGGAAGTGCAATCCATGGTCAAATAACAGTCAGATTAAAAAGTACTCAGAGAAAGCTTTAAAGAGTAGCAGCCTTGGCAGCATGAAATAACAACAACTGGGATTGAAAAGAATGAACTAGGATCCCTTTGGCAAGAATGAATGAAGGAACAAAAACCAAAATTTACAGAAAAGAGCCTGAAATGGAAATGCAATTATCTAGACATAGGAATATGAAGGAGAAGAAGGAAGGGATTGAAAAGAAAGATTTCCGTCTCTGGTTTTATAATAGGGCCAGCTAGGGTGTGGATAGGAAAGAAAAGGAGGAAGGGGTCGGTGGATTTTTTTGGGGAAGAGGATGAGTCCATTTATTGGACTTAAATAGGGTTACGTTAAATATGAGTCAGCAGTCTGTAGCTGACATGGCGGCTAAGTTGGTGTGGTAATTTACGTTTTAACACCCGCCGTTAGTCATGGAGACGGAAATGGTAACAGTGCTACCGGAATTGGATATAAGTGGTTTAGTTGCAACAAAACATACTTAAGTGGTTATCGTGCAACAAATGGTGAACTTAAGTGGCACCCTGTGCAATTAACCCTCATTTTTCACATTAAATAACATCTTAAACATGTATCATCAGTGACGGTAAACACCGCCTTCAAAAGTGTACATTTCGTCACTAAACATTTGTTTGAAGATTTATGCTCCAAATGTTGGTATTAGTCACACTTTTTGCGTAATTAATAGATATAAATTATAACATAATACAATGTCGTGACTATTTATAAATAGTTAGAGGACATATTTTTCGTGAGCTTTATAATTAGTCCTAGGGATCTATATTATTCTCCGTGACTAAAATTCATGGAAAACACATTCTTAAATATAGGTTTCTCGTGATTAAACGACAAATTTTCCTTTAGCGTATACTTCTCTTTTTCTTGAAGTGATAAACATATATCTTTGTGAGGGAATTGAAGTTGGTTGACCATACATGAATAAAGTCCATTTAGTTAGGAGGGCTTTTTTTTCTTCTTCCAGAAATATAACACTAAAGACGCTCTAATCTTTATGTATTAACAAGTCGCGGGGTATGAAAGTCAAGTCATAATACAATCAGTACTTTAAAAATGGGATTTGGAGGTCGGTCTGTACCCCTATCAGTAACCGATGTCAATTAATCGGCCACCACATTGCCCTCTTGAAACACATGCAATTAGGATCGTTTTGATGGATCAATCTAGAAATGAGTCAATTTGATCAATTATCTCGTTTTATAAACGAGTCAATTCGAATTACCTGCCCCACCCAGGTAATTGAAATTGACTCAAAACGGGTCAATTCAAAATACCTCAGGCAGATTGATCCATCCAAATTTTTTGTTGGCAAACGAAGCAATTTGGTATAATTGTCTCAAAACGGAACAATTGTGTCAAATTGATCTGTTACAATTCCTCATACCATACCATTCATTTATCGCGCGTAAATAAAAAACGTTTATTCCTATTCACGTAACTAAAAAAAGATAATTATTGATCCCAAAATTCAAACCCTTTGTAAACTCTTTGTTCCCATACAATCTGAAGTGTACAAATATAAAGTCCAAAGCTTTTATTCAACGTTCTCCTTTCTTGAAACACGCTATATCATTTCTCCTTTCTGCAAAGTTGGTAGCTAGAAAGGAGAAATCTCGTAGCGAAAGGTGCAACCGGAGCTGTGGGCCTGAGCCCCGATGGCCATATCGGAGCAGGAATTAAACAACTGGGCGGTGATCTCGCTCAAGCATTCCCCGCAGGCAGGACTACTAGTGCCACCAGTACATGTCGCCTGGGCGTACACGGTTCTGCCGGGATTCACGTAGCACTGCTCTCGTTCGTTGTAGTCGACATCGCCGTACCCGCCGGCCGCGAGTTCGGCGGCCAATTTTCTGGTGCATAAAGGGACGGCCGGGTCCAGGGTGCCGCTGCACAAAGCTTCCGAAACCACACCGGCCCCGCAGCCCTGCACCAACATTGTTGTTATCATCCCGATTATTACGGTGGCCGCCGCCTTGGGAACTGCCATATATAGTGGATGCGGATGAGATGTATAGTTTTGACGAGATCGATTAATTGGTTGGGTTGGGTTTGTGTGTTTGTTCAGTATTTGCTTGCCGATGCGCGGATGAGATATGTAGTGGCCGTTGGGCGTTGTTTGTTGTTGTTCATGCACGTGGAAAATGGGTCATTAAGATTGCGGGTGGGTTGCGTACGTATGTGTTAATCGCTGGATTAATTGTTCGCATTTCGGTCTCTGCAATGAAATTGAATTTTTGTATCTATATAATACAGCTGTTAGCAAATGTTAAGCTCGATCATCGATGTGGAAAAAGTCTGAACCCAAAGCTTTGTACTATCGGTGTTTGTGAAATCGTATTCGATCGTGAAATTTCTTTTTTTTTTAAAAAAAAAATCTAAATCGGTTGATTATTTTAGAGGTTTCAGACAGTTGAATAATGATTAAACCACCGTTTCAATATAAAATAGTATATTACCGACTTTTTTTATACAACTTTCGATACGAGATCACAATCCTTGTCACATATATACAAGCGATCCAGGGGGACAAAGCATAGAAGAAAATAAGATGATACCGCGTGTTGCATAAAATCCTCCCACGGTCTTCAAATTGGTGCAACAATTGATCATTCGCAGAAAGTGTCCTTTGTCGACAAATGTACTGTAGATCTACAAAGCTTCATTAGTTCCATCGTCTTGTCCTAAATACATTTTAGGCCTTCTCATTAATCATAAGCGATCGCATTGAGAGTTCAATTATGTTCATATTACCATCGTACCCAGAACTAGGCTATTAGAGATGGCAATTAGATCGGATTGGTGGATTCGTGGATTGGATTCGTGGATCCATGGATCAAATGGATTGGATCCAATGGATTGGTGGATTCATGGATTGGATTAAGTGGATTGGTGGATTATCCATGAATCCAAATGACATCAAAGACTTGGACCAAAATTTAAAATTCGAAAAGTTTTGGTGCTAAAATGTCATAATGAAAATTTTTAGGTACCAAAATGTAATTTTCCAATGATATTTTTTGTATAAAAATATAATTTTTAGGTACCAGAATGTAAAATATAAAAAATATAGGTACCAAATCGTAATTTGCTATTTGGATCCATGGATTGATCCATGAATCCACCAATCCAATTGGATTTGGATCAAATGGATTGGATTTAAATGGATTGGATTATGTAGATAATTTGGTGGATGGATTGGATTGGATTCATGGATTTGGATCCTAATTGCCACCTCTAGCTATTCCGCACTTCTTCCTAATCTTCATATGCAAGATAAGACTTGGCTGAACAAGGGTAATTAAAACGATCCTAAACATTTTCAGTTTCCTTTCGAAATTCTATAGTTTTATTCCCGAATCAGTGATGTGCAAATGGTGAATTGCAGTCATCTCTTTTCTTTCATTATTTTTTATTTTCAAATATAAAGTTTAAAAGTAAAGAATAATTAGAGTTTGGCATGAGTCGGTCAAACAGGCTGAATTTCAAATTTTTGCCCGTTTTGATCAAGTCTAATTTATAATCACATGGTTCCCTCATACCCTATAAAAATCTCAATCCAAACCAGTTTGGCAGGTGAGTCCGTGTTTACCGCCATTTTCTAGGGATACAGGAAAGTTGGTTCCTATCCCAAATCGTGCTGTTCATTCTTGATTTCTTTAGATTTTATCATGGTTTGGCAAAAAACCAGAAAGCACAATGATGAGAAGATGAAAGTTTTATAAAGCAAATTAATCGGCCAACGGGCCGAGTAAAAGCTAGCAACGATTGTGAGATGCTCATTTCTCGAAAACCGGCGGGATATGCGATTTTTTATTCGATTTTATGGAATTCGATTTCTATAAAACTTACTCCACCTCATCATATTACCAGAAACAATATTGTTTCACAAGGTAACAGGTACTTGATTTTGGTTCATAAGGCTGATTTTTGATTCGTTGCATTATTCATGTCTCTTTTATACTAAAATTCACTATTTTTATATACAACAATAAGCTATACACGCCATTACATTATCAAATTTCATACCTCATCTTCGTACGGCCAAATGGCCGGGGCCACGCTAGTACGTTTTGAATGAGACGATGGATTGATAAATGTCTAAGCCGGAAGTTGTGACAATGAGTATCTGTTCCACAAAATATAATATATAAATAAATATTTAATTGTGAATTCAATTTTGAATATTAAAAATATGTTTTATTGGGCCCGAGTCTCCTTTAATAACTTCTCTCGGGCCAAACCAGTTGAACCAGGTCCGGGAATTCTCGCGGCCCACCAATCCAAGAGTCAAGGTTCCGACCAACCCTTCTCTCCTCTCATGGACAAATAGTCTCACTGGTCGAGGTGAAAGTCGGTTCAACCACTGCTATGCCCGTTGGTTCAACCACCATACTGGTAAGAAGCCATGGACAAAAATTCTCATCGGTTTCCACCTAAAAAAGTAAGCAAAAAAAAAGGTCAGCCTCCTTGTCTTTCTGCCAGATAATGGAACAGAGAGTTTGTTCTACCTGTACTTTGTGATCAAGTAGTGTAGAAGAGTTGCAATCTGGACATTGGTAAATTCTGTACCAACACAAAATCTCACGCCACCACCAAATGCCCTCAACTGTGTTGATGCTCAGTTAATTTCTTGCCTCTGAGTGCAATGGTGTTTCAGAAGACAAAGGAGGCAAAATGTGACGGTAAAGTTATTCTGCCATATCATCCGTTCTAGACTTCGAGTAAGATTCAATCAAGTCCAACTATTTTCTCTGATCAAGATGGCAAATTGAGCTGGGTGATCATATATTTCACCATTTGTCAAGCCGTCAAAGTACCGCGTCCCTTGCCATTCCACATTCCTAATAGCTGAACTCTCAATGTGTATGATCATGGTGTTTCTCAACATGACTGCAGCGTCATATTTCTTGTCCGATGCAGCTCATGCCCAAGATGATCTTCCCATCAATCACAAAGAGGATCAAAGGAACCTTTTTGATGTGGAAGCCATATCAGCACAAGCACTGCAATCACAATTATAGTTGTTATCGTTGTTAACGCCAAAATATTCAAGTCTTGTTTCAATTCCTAAGATCAGACACAAATTATAATATGAAAGGCTTCAGCTGTCAGGAAAATAGCTAGAAGTAGACCAAACATCACCATCCGACTCATGCATATATACTGTATGTGGCATTTAAGATCAAAGAAGCCATCGCATTTCCTTCTGATACCAGCAAGACGATACTCATCATTAGCAAAATCATCCTAAAACATTGCAAGTTTGAGGTTTATCTTATGAAAACGCCATTAAATTACTTCAGTTCACCTAAATTGACAAACTTTCAGGATTGACACATGTTGTCCAGAGTCCAGACTGATCAATATAGTTAAGAGGGAAATCACAATAAGTCATCTAGACAGAGATAGATGTACTGACCACATTAATCAAGTTCATTTGGTTACGAGTCTCATTCTTAGCATCAAACTTATTTTTATATACCATGATTTCAGATCAGTGGCTCCAACTCCCATGGACGAAAGAGGTTTTGTGCTTACTGGCTGCTCTATGTGGAAAGAGAATATCTGGTTAGACACATAAAGTACAGTTTCAGTAGAAATACAACTAACTCTTATGAAACAGAGCCCAAAATTCCCAAACGTGTGGAGAACTATCTGTTCACCCAGGCCAAGTTCTCAATTCATTTCCAAAATGAAACTGTTTCCTTCGACTTTAGCACACACAGAATCTAGTTCCTTCAGACTTTTCACAGTGAGGTCAGATCATCTCTACCACGTTCCAAATATGATTTTATGGAACTTCATAAGCTAAGATAATGAACATGATACCAGAAACAAAGCGACGAGAAATAGTGGGAACTAAAAGGAAATTTCAGCATCAATTCTAACATCATGCCAGAAATAAAGCAAGAAGCAAACCTTTCGTAGACAAATTCTATGCCATCTGCTCTTAATTTATCAACAGGTTTGTGGTAAGAACCTCAGTTATTCCGATGGAGAACGTATGAGCACCTGCATGCTAACCTCAGATTGAAGCAGTTATAAACACAAGTTCATGTCTCGTGGATGCTCATTCCCCCTTTGAAACCTTCCTTCAACAAGATATAAAGGTGGCTGCTTCCTAGATTTTCGGTTTTGATCAGCATGTCCCAAATCCGATGACACTTCTCAGTTGAAAAGGATCAGTAGCTTGATGAAAGGTTTCAGATTACAGCATATACATATGACGAACTGAAGCAACTGCAAACTCATGGGAGATACCTAGAAACAGTAACGTCCTACAACAACACTGACATCCAGTTCGGCAATTTAGAGCTTGGAATTACAAAAAAAAAACGCAGTCAACAAATATTTTACTAAAATTGGTGGGGTGCGCCAGGCCCGTGCAATATTGCAACGCATGGGCGACACACGAGAAGCCCCTGGAGCAAGCTCCAGTGGTGGGTTTCTCCCCCTATAAAAATTAATTTAATATCGTGTGGGCCATTGGCCCACGTATCAGATATTAAACTGATAAGAACAGATACTACACTTGATCTTAGCCAAAAGGCCGAGAAAGGTATGCCTTAATCATTAGTTCGATCTCCCCTTTTATTCAACATCCACTTGCTTCCACATATTAGCTTAAGCTATGTGGTAGATAGAAAGTGGCTTCTAATGAATAGTGAGGTAGAGTAGAAATAAAGAGAGGAGAGAGCTCACAGCGCAGGCAAAGCCAATTGCTGTCCCTTAAAGCCTTAGATATAGGAATGATTGCACATTTATTGTCTGGTGCTTCTCATGCCCAAGATGATCTTCCCACCAATCATAAAGAGGATCAAAGAAACCTTTTTGATGTAGAAGCCAGATTAGCACAAGCACTGCAATCACAATTATAGTTGGTTCCTTTGTTAATAAAAAATAATCAAGTCGTTTTTCAATACTTAAGATCAGACAAAAATATAATACGAAAGACCATGAAGGACGAACAAATGTGTTCCAGAGACGCTCGACAGATAAATCTGCTTAAAATCCATTCACAGCAAGATTGCATGTCTTCAATATACTCCACATAAAGGAAATATATGTTTCAACTCCAGATTATGTGCCTGCAAGTTCTTCCCATGATGAAGTCTAACAAACCATCCCACAATTTGTTCCACATCATTTTTTTAATAGACTCTGGGAGCCAGTTCCCGTCTGTCTTTAGTTGTATGAAGGGACCAATCTACAAAAGTTTCATAATTGAATCACTCTGTCATGTAAAAATACCATGCAATTGCTTCAGTTCACCTAAATTGACAAACTTTCAGGATTGACACATGCTGTCCACATTGGTCAATATATAGTTAAAGAGTGTTCCAGATTGATGAATATAATGAAGAGGGAAATCACATATCTAGACAGATAGATGCACTGACCACATTAATCAAATTCATTTGATAAGATCGAGTCTCATTCTTACCAAAATACCCAAACATGTATAGAACTACTTCGTAAGTGAATTGCATATGGAACTGTTTCCTTTCGCTTTAGCACTCACAGGATCTAGTTCCTTTACTTCAGACTTTTTACAGTGACGTCAGATCATATCTAACGCCTTACGGAACTAAGCTAAGAGAATGAATTGATGGATAAACAAAAAGATTTAATCCACTAGGCAAACCTGAGAGGCTGAGACCCATTGTCTATAGTAGTAGCTGTCATATAAAATTGGCAATCGGCTCGGTCCACTTGATTGAAATTAGAGTGCTTCAGAATAGCTGCACTAAAAAGAAACACTAAGAATCAAAACCGGATGCTACCTCACATTAGTACTCATGATAAACTGAAATTTTATAATGGACACTGCTGGTACTGTAATTACCTGAGCATGCATAACTTGCAGCTTGATCAATTGTTGGGTATAGTTTAAATCATTGAGTAGCGACTTCATTTGGTTTCATGATGAAGAATTCCTCCTGAGTCATCAGCCCTCGAGTTATGATCATAAAACTTTTAACTGTCATGTGTCGTATTAAGGAAGAAGAGTGGAACTTGTGAAGGAAGGTACCTCAATAAGGGAAACGCCTTTCAAGCAGCCAAACTACAAGATGGAGCAATTTGTCAACGCAGCAATCAGGTTATCTCAAACCAGCTACTTACTAGACCAGGAGAAAAATAACATGCGATTAAATTGACCCAGTCTAGTTGGGAACGTATTGATTGAGGATTTCAATTCAGGATGATGCAAGTTTGCTGAAACAATGGAAAAATAACAGTTGTCATTAGCACTGTGAGTTGCATGATAAAATAACTGCAGAGGAAGGGTGAATTCTACCGTTAAACTTTATGATGCTTCCACTATCCCGGTATTCTTAGCTATAATTCTAACAGTTCCAAATTGAGTTAGGGCTTCAAATGTGGGAACTGTGACCCCTACAGTTACCCCTGGGATTCCTGTAAATGGAAACATCAGAACACATGCATATTGAACGGAGGTCATGAAACTCCAAACACATATGATGACCATAGTTTTACAATGGTTATACTTCAGCGATGTTGAATATTTTATAAATTGTAGTTACAGGTAACAATCGCATACTGTGGTAAACGTACAACCTTAGTCTGGACCTTTGATGAAGGAAAACATTGCAGATATGATGAGGAAACACTGTGGACTAAAAGGAAATTTCAGCATCAATTCTAACATCATGCCAGAAACAAAGCGAGAAGCAAACATTTGGAAGATATCGTCTGCTCTTAATTCCATCAACAGGTTTGCGTTAAAAACCTCAGTTATTCTGATGGAGGACATACAAGTCCCTGCATGCTCAACTCAGATTGGGAAAAGTTGTAAACACAAGTTATGACTCGTGGGGATAAAAATGATTATCAGGGTATAAGCATCAACACTTAACTGGATGCTCATTCACCCTTTATACCTTTCCTTCAACAAGATATAAAGGTTGCTGCTTCCTAGATTTTCGGTTTTGATCAGCCTGTCCCAGATGACAAATCTCAGTTGAAACAGCTCAGTAGCTTGATAAAAGTTGCACAAGCAACAGAAGGAGATTATGAAACATCAGATCGAAAGGAATCAAGAATAGGGGATACTAACACCCCAGAAGTTCCACAACTGATTATGCAAAGTACTCCAGTATAGTGAGGCATAGAAATCTGATTGCCATTGAAAGCCTCCTAAGTGACACCAATTTTATTGAATGCAACACCATCCAGCGTAAATCTTAGTCCCAGTTCTTGTGGGTGACCAGAACCCCCCTTCCAATACAAATATCAACAATGAGCTGCTTCATACTACAGCACATTACATATGATATGACCAATTGAAGGAACCGCAAGCACGTTATAGAAACATAGAAACTGCAATATGTCGAACTAAATATCTTACTAGAATTGGTGGGGTGCGCCAGGCCCTTGCAGTAGTGCAAGGCATGGGCGACACACGAGAAGCCCCTGGAGCAAGCTCCAGTGGTGGACTTCTCCCCCTATAAAAATAAATTTAATATCGCGTGGGCCATTGGCCCACGTATCAGATATTAAACTGATAAGAACAGATACTACACTTGATCTTAGCCAAAAGGCCGAGAAAGGTATGCTTTAAACATTGGTTCGAGCTCTCATTTTATCCAACATCCACTTGCTTCCACATATTGCTTAAGGGATGTGGTAGAAAGTGGCTTCTAAAGAATAGCGAGGTAGAGCAGAAATAAAGAAATTAAGAAACGAGAAAGCTCACAATTTCCTGTAAAAAAAGAGAGCTCATAGCTCAGCAAACCCAATTTCTGTTCCTTAAACCTTAGACGTAGGATTGCTAATTACTTACCTTTCTTCTCTTTAACTCGGGACTATTCATCTGATCTAGCTGGCTGCCCTTGCTTTCTATTTCCCTGTATAGGTCGGCATCTCCTTCAGAAAGTTCGGTATGTATTTGAAATTGTCCAAGAGGAAGACCTATAGAATAAAAACTTCCTCTAGAGGCACGCCAAGAAATGAGAGAGAGAGAGAGAGAGAGAGAGAGAGAGAGAGAATAGCCTATTCATCTTTGTCTCATATGGGTTTCCTAATTATAGGAATTAAAAAGCAAAGATCGCTTTCAGGACAACATCAAAACTCAAATGACTCGTTCAATTGTTCTCATCAAAACCACTTATTGTTGCTCCTGAACTAGTGTTTACAATGATCCAGTATAGCTCACTTCATTGCAGAGGCATGGAGAGAATAATAAAGAAGGGACAGAGGGAAATTGAATACCATACCTGGACAATTTAAGTGAAGCAAGAATGAATACCTGTCATGGAAGCACGAGGTAAATGTCCTCAAAGAAGGAATGCTACAGTTATGCTCACAAAACATTTAACTGTTATGAGTCATATGAAGGAAGAAGACTGGAACTTTTGAAGGTACCTGCATAAGGGAAATGCCTTTCGAGTAGTAATACTGCAAGATGGAGCAATTTGTCAACGCAGCAACCAGGTTATCTTAAACCAGGAACTTACTGGACCAGGAGAAAAATAAGATATGATTAAATTGACCAAGTCTAGCTTGGAACTAATTGTTAATGGATTTCAATTCAGGATAATGCAAGTTTACTAAAACAATGGGAAAATAACAGTTGCCATAAGTATTGTGAGTTGCATGATAAAATAACTGCAGAGGAAGGGTGGATTCTAACGTTAAACTGTATGATGTTTCCACTTTCCCTGTATTCTTAACGGTCACTATAGCAGTTGCGAACTGAGTTAGGGCTTCAAATGTGGGAACTGTAACCCCACAATTGTCCCTGGGCTCCTGTAAATGGAAATTTCAGAATACATACATATTGAACAGAGTTCATGAAATTCCAGACACATATAAAGGCAGCAGTTTATGATAGTCATACTTCAGCAATGTTGTACCTTTTATAATTTGTAGTTACAGGTTACTATCACATTACTGTTGTACCTTTGACGATGAAAAATATTGCAGATGTGATGACGAAATAGTGTGGACTAAAAGAAAATTTCAGCATAAATTCTAACATCATGCCAGGAACAAAACCAGAAGCAAAACTTTGGTAGACAAACTCTATGTTATCTGCTCTCAATTCTATCAATTCCACAACTGATTATGTAAGCAACTCCAATATAGTGAGGCACGAAAATCTGATTTTCCTTTGAAAGCCTCATAAGTGATGCCAAATTTATTGGATCCAGCGTTAATCTTTACTCTCTCAAGCATCCACATTGAAAAATTCGTCCCCAGTTCTTGTCAGTGACCAGAACCCTCCTTCCAAAACACATATCAACTATGAGCTGCTTCATATTTACAGCACATACATGTGACGAAGAGAAACAACTACAAGCTCATCCTAGAAAACATAGACACAGCAATGTTCTTGCACGTCCTAAGTTAACTGCATTCAACTCGACGATTTAAACATTCCAGAGCTATACACAATACTCATATGTTTATTTTGGGCTCCAGATTAGCACAAGCTAATATTTTACTAGAATTGGTGGGGTGCGCCAGGCCCATGCAGTAGTGCAACGCATGGGCGACACTCGAGAAGCCCCTGGAGCAAGCTCCAGTGGTGGGTTTCTCCCCCTATAAAAATTAATTTAATATCGTGTGGGCCATTGGTCCACGTATCAGATATTAAACTGATAAGAACAGATACTACACTTGATCTTAGCCAAAAGGCCGAGAAAGGTATGCTTTAAACAGTTGTTCAAACTCTCCTTTTATTCAACATTCACTTGCCTCCAAATATTAGCTTAAGCAATGTGGTAGAAAATGGCTTCTACATAATAGTGAGGTAGTCAGGTAGAGCAGAAATAAAGCAACGAGAGAGGTCACAACTTCCTGTCAGAAAAGAGAGAGCTAACAGCGCAAGCCGAGCCAATTACGGGCCCTTAAACCATACACATTGGATTGATTCGATATTACTCACCCCTCTTCTCTTTAACTCAGGACTATTCATCTGATCTAGCTGGCTGCACTTCGGAATCTCCTCTACAAAGTTTGGTATGTATTTGAAATTGTAATCACAAGAGGAAGACCAATAGAATAAGAACTTCCTCTCAGAAGCACGCCAAGAAATTCAGAAAAGAGAATAGCCTATTCATCTCTGTATCATATTGGTTTCCTAATTATGGAAATTAACAAGCTAATATGGCTTTCAGGACACAACATCAGAACTCAATAGACTTGTTCAATAATTTTCATCAGAACCACTTATTCTTGCTCCCGAACTAGTGTTTACAGCAATCCGGTATAGCTCACTTCATTGCAGAGGCATGGAGAGAGTAATAAAAAAGGGACAGATGGGACCATGTACAATTTAAATGTAGCAAGAATGAATACCTGTCATGGAAGCACGAGGTAAAGGTCTTCAAAGGAAGGAATGCTAGAGTATCCAACAAAATCTCCAATTAGATTAACCCTTAGAAACTTGTCCTCCGATGTAGCTGTTCTGTTTTCAGGGCCCAAGATCACTTCCTGTAAAAGAAAAGAAGAGTAGGTGATGATTGGATATCTGTGTATTAGATAGGACAACAAAGACATCTACTTTACAAACACGACAAAAGTTTACGATTTCACTTAAGTTGCCAACTGATGAAGAGCTAAAGTATTTTCTTTGTACAGGCAAGCCAACTGGAAGAGCTTGCAGCAGGAAACGCCTAGGCCAGAAAGTTATATTTTGCTACCAAATACTATTCTTATTTATCTCAAGACTGCTAGACATCATTTAAGCACACGTTTTCCTCCTAAATCAGGCCCGACAGATATGACTCGGATGCAATGGTAGAGCAACGATATAAAGTTGGTTTTTCAGACATGTTTCTTTGGCTGTCATACAAATTGAATAGAGCAAGTAGATAGAAATGACATACGGAGACCTTGGATCCCACCTTCACTTCAATTTGAATACTAAATCCAACTGACCTCTGACCAATTCCAAAAACAAGGAACCTAAAAAAATAGCATGATATTAGTAGTTACATACTAATATTAGGCTCCTAAGAATTTATAAAAGAAATCAATATGAAAACAGAAAGACCAGCAAAATCAGGTCACGGAAATGAAAGGCGTTTCTTCTGATTTCAAAAGTCGGGTCTAAAGAAAGGCCGGTAGAAAGGGTTTTTCTGCAAGCTATAGAAATCATAATCATCCAATGGACAAGTTCCAAAACCTGCACAATTCCTCCTGCGCAAAACTATAGGCCGTCTAATTCAAAGGTTCAAAATACTCATAACAACATATGTCTAGCTCTGCCAAGTTGAAATGCGTGACTTCATTGCAGATTTGATCCTATATATAGTCACTATCAGGGTAAATGATGGCCACTGCAAATTCATTCAAGGTAAAAGATTGTTTGTTCCATAGCTTGTTTCTGTTTTCCCTGTGCATAAAACTGAAGAGATGTAAAACAAAAGGTTTCAGAAGAAGAAACGCATGCAGCCTAAGGATCATACCAATCACCCGGAATCTGACACAATGTGCTATATTCGCCTCTCCTTTCGCCAATTTATCAACTGATCAACGGTAACTCTTTCAATAAATTGAAATCTCCATTGTGCTGTTAAATTTGGATACTAAACTGGAAGAAGTTGCTGCATGATGAATGTACTCACCTACAGCGACCAGAAGGACAACATAGTGGCTGACCAAAAGGGACGATATCAAAGGAACAGAACAAGTAGAGATAAAAAAAAGTCTTAGGATTATAACTAGAAAGAGAACCTATGTAATTTCCGAAAAACACATGTTATTTTCCCAAAAAACTTCTGTCATGAATTTTCCATTCTTCTTTTCTTTATCTTGAACAGACTGCTACATGCAAAGATTGTTAAAGCTATCTACAGAGAGCGTTACCTCTGAATGCTCAATAACATGACCAATCTCATCCTGCATTCAACAGAAATGTAGGAAGCGGCTTACTAGTGGACATCTAATCTCAATCCCCAGTTATAGAGTGTCCATAGCGAATAAAGAAACACATTAATTGGTGGCATTATGTTTAACCATGAACTTGCAAGCAATATTTTCATTTCCCATGTCATCTGGCAGAAAATCTCGCATAGGGCACCAGATTGATCTAATTTCACACAACAGCTAGAAAACAAGCAGCCAAACAGATTGAAGCAGTAACACTTTGAATCATTAGCAAGATAGGATCACATGCCTTACACATTCCTTCAACGCATCTGGCTCGCATTTTCGCGTCTTGACAGAATACTCTGACAGGTCTATAAGCAACATCCTGGCCATTTGTCATGCCACAGACACAACCCCAAATGTCAATTAACGCAAACTAAAGGACTCCATAAGAGCCAATCAACCTTGCTTGTTCACTAGTGAATTAACAACCCTACATTACCCGAATATTATGTATCAGCAGGTAAATGGCATAAGCAGGAGATTTGTGGATCGTTATCACAGGCGGCCTTCGCAGTGTTTGCATGTAATCAGTGGAATTCTCCTCCACCTCTACGATTTCAGCGACGATCGACGACTCTCTCCCACTTTTAACAAACCGAAACCAGTCAAAATTCCCACAGTTCAGAACATCGATCGACTGGAAAGGGTCAAACAAGTGAAAACGAGACTTGAACGTATGAAATTCTGCAATCGGTTAACGCGATTGAATGAAAACCGAATTTTACTTACGGCGCCGCTGGGAACCGCCATGTTGAGGACGATACGAGTGCAGTTGAGCTCTTCGGAATCGGAGCCTTACTCGCACCGCTAGGCCTTGGATTTGGAAAGGATTTCCACTGCGGCGGCGAAGAACTCGAAACAACGAGAATCAAGCAGAATAGGGAAGGGATGCAGAGAGCACAGTGTTCCATTTCTGTGGGGAGTGCGATTGAAGGTTTTGCCGGGAGGAACTGAGATTGTGGGTGCTTTTGGTTGGAGTATAAAATGGGGTTAGACAAACCGCCAAAGGGCTTGGCGGGATTTAATTAGAGCAATGGTGATTATAAATATTTGGAATATTATCATGATTGTGTTTAAACTTTAAACTTATGTTTAGCAACATCAGGCGACACCAATACGTTTTATTTAGGAGTTGTACAGCAATTTAGGATATTGAGCTAAGTTGTAAATATCAAGGGGGAAATCAAGGGTAAAATAGTCCGAGTAATATTTAAGTTTGAAAATTATGGTAGATAGTCAACTTAAATTTGAATAAGGTGTCGGGGTACCATTAAAGTTGTGTATCTATCTACTTTTCTATCCAACACAAACTTTTAAGTATTTTTTGGTACCCAAATTTTTTTAAAAACATTCAAAACTATTTCAAAAAGTTTTAACTAATACAAAAATGAGAAAACCTTCTAAATATTTTATTACTAGAATGACTAGTCAAAATTTTCCAATAAAATAGATAAATTAGTAAAAATAATAGACGAATATCAAAAATAATAATAAATATACTAGAATGTAATAGCAAATATTTAAAGTTAATAGTATATTATCTATTTAAACCACCTAATTCAATTAGAAGCACCATTAGAAATAGTTAAAATAGAATCTAATTGATCATCAATACATCGAAACCAAACAAGGATAAACGGAACACAATCAGAAAGAATTAAACATATTCCAATAATTGAAAAAAATTAGAACGAAAAATAACCAATTAATAAATAGACTATAAAATCTACAACATTCAGTAAAAAAATGTAGAAAGGAAAAAAATTGACAATTGGAAGAGAATTAGAATTAGTAAATTTAACTAATATGAAACATCTACAATATAATATTAGAAAATTGAACTAATGATAATTGAAAATACGTATAATGATAATTGGTTCTAAATTTTATATTCAAAAATTGGTTTGGTATCAAGTATTGAAAAGAGGATCCCAAATAAACAATAAAATATAATATTTTTCATAAGTCTAAATGATTTTTTTTTACAATAAGAAAAAAAGAAAGACTAGTTATGAAATTTAAAAAATGAAATATTTCAAGAATATCCTGTTAACTTTAAAGTAATGTACTTAGCAGTAAACTTAACTGATACCGGGTGCACATATAATAGAGTTCAGTGGTACGCGGTGCCCTACTCTTATTTAAGTGGTATAGCTCCGCCAATTCTCATACTTTAGTTGTACACGAGGTATTCTACCCGAGAAATCAACATCACTCACAAACGTAACTCTATCATCTAAATTATTAGTTTCAATAGCTCAAGGACTTTATGAGCTATTGAGCTTCGATGATATCAACTTGCAAGCTATTTTTCTTGTTGTTAAGCGTTAAATAAATTATAAATCATTCAAACTGAAATGAGGAGTGTTGTAAATTGTTATTTCACTCAAATTTGCGATTCCACTTAACTAATCAACAGATGAATATCTCAAGTCATTAAATCCAACTCGTCACGAATTCGTAAATGTTATCCAATTGTCACCCCTAATTCCTGAATCCAAATAAAAAATTCAAGCATATACTGATAGCTGATAAATGAAATAGATACTACTCAATATCAAGAAAAATATGAGTGCATGATAGAAAAATCAAGCAAAAGCTCATCACCACACATACAAAATATCCAGAAACAAAGGGAAAAATACAGCAAAACATATGAAACTTCAGAAACTAGATAGGTACGTAGTATCAATTTCATGATCGATGAAAGCTAATTATAAGCTTTTGGCATCAATCCTTGTGAATAATGTCGCCGGTCGGTCGACGAAACCCATTGTTGCATGGGCCAAAACTCGATCAAAAGAAAGAATAAGCCTCGTATCTAAACGCACACAGAGTGTTGTTAATCCGGGCCCCGACCCGATCCGGACAGCTACTCATCACCTTCTTGGTAGCATGTTGCAAGCACAACCGACAGAGCGGGAGATAGTGTATGTCGTAACAGTATGCCGCTGCATGGAGCGTCGTGGTGGCGTTGACGCTGCACTGATTCGTCCTCCCGCCACGCCTCGGATCCCTCGTTATCAAAGTGGTTGCCATTTTGCCAACGCATGGAGTCATGCCGGCGTCCACATTGCCGTTGCACACGTACAACGGCGGGGCGGCGTCCTCGGAGTTGGCACCGTCGAACGGCGTCGTCGTCAGCACGATTCCGATTAGGATGGCGAGGACGGCGATGGAAGAAGCTGCCATTGATATGGTTTTGAATGATTGATTGAGTGCTATCTCTTAACTGGGTTGTTTGTATTTGTGAGTTCGGAGGGTGCCCTATATATATACACGCAAACAATTGATGTGTGTAGAGTCGTACGTTAAGGAAGAAGCGTTTGCTAATTACTAATTAGAGAGTAAGTTAGTACTAATACCTACAAACCAATGGATCGGGTAGTGTGGGACAAACGTAACGAACGAAACATGCATGGATTAGTTTAATCATTAATGGAGAGCCTGGATCGGTTGGTGCTTTCTCGCCGCGGTTTGTTCTCCATTTCGCCACCTATGTATTGTCGTCTCCGGTGGCCGTCTCGATACGTCTCGATAATGGACACGTGATCAATTTAATATTTGTTTGCGAGTAATAACAAAGGGGTGAAGGGTATCAGGAAACCTGCTGCTTATAATGTCTCTCACACAATGTTGTGGTATCGTGTAGGTATCATAATGTAATATCTGTTTACTTGGTGTACTAGTTTGTTATTTGGATTGACAGGTTTGATAAATAATGCAGAGTTTAAACAGTGTAAAATTTCATTTTAGTGAAATGGAATTGAGTCGGATCCATGATGGCTGTTCTGTTAGTGCTTTTGAAGAACCTGAAACTTATTATGAAGCTCATTAGGTACGAATCATATCAGACACATGCAGTCACTCTTCCGTGGTATGAAACAGGCTGCCCGTGAACGAATCACAAGTTAACTCAAATATTGTTGGTGACTGGTTATGTTTAGTCTAAAACTGATTGATCTTTGTTTACCAAACGTGATTAAAGCTTTGGTCTTACTTGAATCCCCTTCGACTGGCTTGAAATATCAGTTCTGTTTTTCAAGACTGAACTCTTCTTAAGCAAAAGCAAAGCCAAATGCAAACACAAAACGATCAATCGCACACCATTCCATATAACTCATCCACCACCTAGAAACAAACCTCCTATCTTCCCAAGTTCAACAACCATACCCCGTTCCAGTCTCTACAACTAGCAAAAAAGCTCCAAAAAAAGACAAAACAAAAAACAAAGGTGGAGGAAACAAATTCCCCAATCGCAATTGCTCTGAAGTACTGCCTCTTGCCAAAAGATCAGATAGCCTAGCCTTTGCTCATCATGCAGCAGCGCTGCTCCCTAATTGAGAAGGGTCTGGTCGAAGTGCCATACACCTGATGATCAACAAAAACCCAGAATGTCAGTTCTAAATACAGATGTCTATGGCAGAAAACAATGATGGTGAGTTTATTAGGAAGCATAGTAGAATACCATGTCCCTTCCCAATCCTCCTCAGTTGGGCAACATATTCAGAGATCATTTTGATCGCTTCAACCTACAAAGAGTTCCTCAAGTTCAGGCATTGATGCTGGAAGCCAAGGAAAACAATGTGTGCCAGTGTGTTAGAAGAGTGGCATACCTGCTCAGCCAAGAACTCGCCTTCAACAAAATCAGTCAATTGCACATCGTTAGCCCGCTCAGCTACCTGTAGCAATAAGAAATAAGTGAGATGAATCCAAAGATGTAACCCTTCATTCAGACTAAACGAAACCCTTTCGATAATAATACGCTGAAGGGCAAACAGGGACGGGGGAAAAGAAGAGAAGTGTCTTACGCTGTGCAAATTCAGGAGCTTCTCATTCACTAGTTTCTCCAGAGACAGGGCGAGTTCCATTGCTGAATTACAGAAAGAAAACCACAATGATTATACATTCCAACCCTCAACCAAGTATATGTCTCGACTCATGAACTCTTGTTACTTAGTCCCATTTATTTCACAAAAAGTTAAATTTGAAAGTAAACAGCTTTCCTCTATAATTATATCGAATTCAAGCAGAAAATGTACAAGCGTCACCCCAGACCCAAAAGGTCAAAACCAACTACATACCATAGAGAGCATCGCCTTTCTCAGCATGGTCAAACTCAGAGAGGGGCATCAAAATGGATTGCAGCTTCACTTTCCCGCCACGTTTGTTCTACGAAACAAAGCAAAATACCAAAATGAAACGTACAGCCAAGTGTGCTTAAGTGTGCAAAACAAGCAGTCCCTTATCAGGACAATGGAAATCAGGGGATCGAGGATACCTGGTACTCCATCAATTTCTCAGCATGCTCCCTTTCCTCTACGCTTGATTCCTTGAAGAACCTGTCACCAAATCATAGTTAGCTAAACACTAGTCTAAGTGACTGGAAAGATAACTTAATTGAGACAGAGGAGATTGGAAAAAAACGGAAAAGATTTATACTTGGCCAAACCCTTGAGAGCAACATTGTCTCTGTCAAAATAGGCGTACATGGCATGGTAGACATAGGAGACATTGTACTCCACGCTGTCAATACGAAAGTGACATCAATTAACCAAATGATAAGTCAGCAATAACAGAGTACTATCACCACAACCCACAAAAAAATAACACAGTACAATCTCCAGAATCGCACCCCTAAACAGCCTGTGTACGAATCAAAGCACCTCCACAGGCAATTAGATCTACAGGCCAGATAATAATCGACAAAGGAAAGCTAAAAAGCAAGACGACATAACTACAGAGGGCAAAGAAGACAGCCCCAGCCAAGCCACTCATGCACGCGAAAATCTCGTCATCACCAACACCATCCATTCAACCAATCAACAGAATACTGGTAATATCGCGAAAATAGCCATCGTGACAAAGAAAAACTCGCAACAGTAATAAGTCGGTACTTCTCACAAACACCTCAAAGGCATAAAGGCAGAACGCAAGACGATACAAGTAATGAAAGGGAAACTGAAAAGAGACTAGTT